TAAGTACAGGAAGAACATTTCCCTTGAGTAGGGACAAATAGGGTCGGGAGAACCCTGAGGTATTCCTTGATTCCTGTCAGGGCGTATTCACACTCCTGGCGCCACGTATCCTTTCCGTCCCCCTTGATGGCCCCAAAGAAGGGTTTACATTTATCCGAGGAGTGCGAGATAAAACAATTAAGTGCTGTCAATATCCCTATGAGCTTCTGGACTTCTCGGACCGTTCGGGGACTCCAGATGTCCAGGATCGCTTGAATTTGATCCGGGTTAGCTTCGACTCCTCGCCGACTCACCAAATATCCGAGGAATTTACCTGACTCCATTCCAAAAACACACTTCGCTGCGTTTAGCTTCAGCCCATACTCCTTGAAGGTGGAGAAGGTATCGGCCAAATCCACCAAGTGGTCACAACTTCTTCTACTTTTAACTAACATATCATCGATGTAGACTTCCATGGTGTTGCCGATCTGTCTTTTAAACATCTGATTCATCAGCCTCTAGTACGTAGCTCCGGCGTTCTTTAGCCCAAATGGCATAACTTTGTAGTAGTAAACCCCCCTCAGAGTGATAAATGTTATCTTTTCTTAATCTGGGGGATGGAGAGGGATTTGATGATATCTTGCTCTAGCATCTAGGAAGCCCATGCGCTAATATCCAGCAATGGCATCCACCAACTGGTCCACCTTTGGTAGGGGGTAGTCGTCCTTGGGACATGCCTTGTTCAAATCAGTGAAGTCAACGCAAACACACCATTTTCCCCCCTTTTTCTTCGCACAGACCATGTTCGATAACCATTCCAGGAACTACACCTCCCGGATGGTATTGGCCTCCAGGAGTTTATCGACTTCCTCGTTCACCGCCCGAGCGTGATGTGGCGTCATGCGTCGTGGCTTCTACTTTATTGGCTTGTGTGTCAGGTCAACATGTAGCTTATGCGTCATTACTTTGGGAACCACCCCTTTCATTTCTATTGCGTTCCAAGCGAACACGTCTGCATTCTGCCTTAAAAAGTCAATCATCTCTTCCTGTTTGGCTGTAGGCATTGCGAAGCCAATCAGGAAGTATCTTTCCTCTGCACCATCTACTTAGAACACCTTCCGGAGGTCCTCTACCGATTGGTCCGTCGGGTCAGTCCGGGGGTCATCCACTCCTGGACGTCCAGACTATGATTGCTATTTTTCCAGGATTTACTCCAAGGCGCGTCCCTTCTCTTGGGTGAAACCCTCCGCTCTCACAACCGAGTAAAAACAATTTTTTGCGGACACTTGGTCCCCTTGGATCTCTATTATCCCCTCTAGTGTAGCAAACTTCAATTGTTGGTGGTAGGTGGAGTGCACTGCCCCCAGCGCATGCAACCAAGCTCGCCCCATGATCACATTGTAGGGAGAGTTCGTATCAATTACAACAAACTCGGTATTGATGGTGAAGGGACCTGTGACGACTGGCAATGTAATTTTGTCAATGGACAGGGCAAATGAGCCGTTAAATCCGACGAGGGGCGTCCTAACCTTGGTGAGGTCCTTGAGGTCAAAGCTCATCCGCTTTAAGGTTTCGGAGTATATTATCTCCAAGGAACTCCCGATACCAACACCCTCTTGACGTCAAACTTGCATATCTTCAGAATTATGATTAGGGCATCGTTATGGGGGGTCACCACGCCTGCTAAGTCCGCATCGGAGAACATGATACTCGGCTCGCCAGTCCTGGTTCTCTTGCTGAGCAGGCCCCCATCGCTCTCGGTAACCTTTCTCGTAAAGGCTACCTTTTTTAGATCGGACTCAAGCTCCTTGGATGTCGGATGATCTAGTGGACACACGTGGATCACGTCTATGACGTTGTCTTGTGCCACGGTCGGGGGCAGAAGCATGTCCCTCTTCCGACTTAGGTTCGATGTACTCTTTCAAGTAACCATCCTAGACTAGCCTTTCCAATAAAGATTTGTACACTCTGCAATCTTTGGTACGATGGCCGAAATCCCGATGATAGGAGTACCTAACTTTTTGATCACGGGTGGAAGGATCACTCTTCATCCTAGACGGCTACTTGAAGAATGGTTCATGCTTGATTTTATAAAGTAATTTGTAGATGGGTTCTTTAAACACAGTGTGAACACCTTTAAATGACCCTCCTGGAGGAGGTACTAGCTCCTTTGGGAGGTGTCCTCCCTCTCCTTCTCTTTTTTCCTGGGAACGAGAGTTTTGCCTTTGCCGCCCCCCATTTTATCTTCAATCCTGGAGTATTTATTTATCCGGACTATCAATTCGCTCATATCTAAGGGAGTCATCTTAGTCAGGGATCGGTATAGGTCCATGTCCCTTACCAAGCCGAGCCTAAAGGATGCAGCTACCAGGACTTCCGAACACTCCTCTACCTCATTGACCTCCTCCCAGTACCGGATGGTATACTGACGAAGGGTTTCCAATTCCTTCCGCCTGATTGTCAGTAATGATCTAATATCTTTAGGCCGCTTACTCCCCGTAATGAATCGAGCTAAAAACTGCCTCGTCAACTCCTTCCATGTCCCAATGTTGTTGGGAGGAAAAGTCTCAAACCACTTCATAGCGGAATCTCCCAAACTCATGGAGAACACTCGGTAGAGGAGCCGTTGGTCCGAGTGATATAGGGACATCATTTGCTTGTATTGCCTGAGGTGAGCTTCGGGATCAGATCGCCCATCATAAGTTTTGAACCTTGGCACGACGAACTTTTTTGGTACCTCCATGTCTTGGATATCCCTAGTAAAAGGGGATTGCATGGCCTCGTCTTCGTCCTGGACAGCCTTGCCCCTTCTTCTGGATTCCAACCGAGCTTTGAGATCAGTTTTCACCTCAGGGGGATGTCCTCTGAGGTTTCTAAGGTCATTGACGGGATTCCCCTTCTCCGGGCGTTGTGTGAAAAGGGTTGAATCCTCCTCAGACTCGTCCCTCTTCCTCCGCCTGGACAGTCCTCGTCGAAGGTCGTCCCAAGCCAAAAGCCTTGCCTTCTTGGAATGACCATCAAGGGGGTGTTCATTGGCTCTCGGGCGCTTTGGGACCCTGGAACTCTCAACTTTGTTGTTTAAATGATTGCTCAGATCCTCAATTTCTGTTTCCCGGACGGAACATCCACGGGAACAGAATGAGTCCCTCGATCCTTTGCCGAGGGCTGCAAATTCGTTGAGCAGGCTTAGGACATTCACATTATCTTTTTCTAACTACTGTAGTCAATCCCCAAACTTTTCTTCAATCACTTTCGCCAATTGACGAGTCAAGGGGGCAGATCCTCCTGACCTAATGCCCATGCTGATTTGAGGAGTATGCCCCCTTGATTGAATAAAAACGTTCCTGTTGTCACCAGCGTGATCCTTCCCCCCACCATGACGAGGAGCTTGTAACTCGAGACTTCTTTACTGGGGGTCTTTCCCTTTCTGTCGAGTATTCACTATGGTCACTGTTCTTTTTAGAAAAGAAACTAGGAAAACTAGTCGTTTCTCACAGACGGCGCCAAATTGTGCGTGCACGTTCTTGCACAATATAAACACAAGAACAGATCTCTTCCGTGGTGAACACGAGTATGTCGATCGAGTGGTCAATCTTGCTACTTGAAATAGGTTGTGAGGGACGAATGTGGCTTAAGAAGCTGTGATGGATCGTTTTTATGGGTCATCTAACTGATCCTGGGAGGCTAAGAGAGGTTCCTAGAACAGAGAAAAATAAGTTAGAAGGGTGCCAGAGTATTTTTCGGTGTATCTCCTCCGACGATCAAATCAGTTCTTTGAGAAAGGAGAAGAAGAAAACACTATATGATGCTTGAGAAAGAGCTTTTGCATACCTCTTTAACGTATTTATGAGGACTATTTATACCTTATAAAACTCATCATTGCTGACAGCATAGCTAGTAGGTAATCATTAGATGTGGGCAGTGTGTGCACATTAATTTCTATGAGAAATGTCCTCATTCTTAACTGTTTGGGACCCCGAACAACTAATGTTTCCTCCTCGGTCTGTCGAGTGTTTAATGAACTTCTCTCAGCAGAGATGTATTAAATGCCTAGGCATAGGAACATTTATTACCTTTCACTTCCAGGCTCTTATGCATTAAATGTTGTCTCATCAAGGGAATGATGCATTAAATGTCTGCCCTCCCACGTCATGTGTCAGCAAGTCATTTTGGTCTTTTCGTCTCTGACCTGACACAATGTGTCATGTGCCCATTCTCCTTTGGTTGAGCCTTCTGCTTTCTTGTACCTCCTGACACTATTTGAGTAAGACGATGTTATGATGGATAGTCTAGCCTAGCCATAGACTAGTAATCTGTCAATCAATAGCCCCTGCAGGAGCAGAAACGCCCACGTAGACAAATACACCTCGATGTCGATGGACTAGCATGATAGGGACCAATATACCCAAACTGACTGAGGGATACGTGTCGGTCCATGGCGTATTGGGGATCCTTGATCCCTGTAAATAGTACCCTCGGAGAAGGGGGTTATAGACCGACAAGGACGTGTCAGGATCACAGTAGAGAGTCTTCATTGACGCCAAGTATACGTGTCGTCATTTTGGTATGTCTGAAAATGTCCCATCAATCAGCATTCTCATTGATTTCCAATGTTTAATGGCTAAATATTGAAGTCAACCCCTCTCTCTTGCTTTCCTCCATTTTTCTGGCAACCAAACAGGTTGACAAAGAAAATAGGCAACTACATGCAAACTAATACTGTGAGTTTTGGGCTGGTGATGATCTGATAGTTAGTGCATGGTAGGAAACATCTACACAAGATGTTGCATGAAATGGAACAACATGAATCATATATATATATATATATATATATACCTCTGGTAAATATGCCAATCAATTAATTAAATATCACGAAAAATGGACTGTTTACAAGATGAACTATCCCCCTGAAGTTACAAAGGCTTCATAAATCTATGCACAATTTTCACAAAAAACACTACACATAATCGATATCCTTCCTGTAGCTAATATTTGGTTGAATAAAATAATTTTTCCACCAGAATTCAGCTTCCGAAAGTGAAATCATAGTCTCAAATTTTTCTATGTTCAAAATTCACTGCTTGCTTGGATTTTTTTCTCGTGCAATGGGCTTCATTCCTGATTATTAGTAGTAGTCGCACCAAATGGAGCCACGAGGCGTGGGTAGGCGCTAGCACGAGGCAAGGCAACACCGGCAAAGTTCATTTGCTTTATCGGGCAGTTAGGTCCGCCACTTCCTGGGATGTTGGTGCAGCCGGATGGCCCTGAAGGAGGGACAGGACCCCTCTGGAGAGACTGCAAGACATCTGTATCTCCTTTCTTCACCCACTCTTGTTCTTCCCCATCCAACATCCTACTAGCTTTGCATTGTTGGAGACACAGAAGAATAAGAATTAAGAATCCAATGCTTAGAAGCTTCATATTGTTGTAACCAAGATGAGAACAACTTCATAATAGAGAATTTTAATAGAGACGAAACCAGTATTTATATGGATATCTTTGAGAGTTCTGAGTTTTTAATTACACTTTAAGTCTTTAAAGTGTGGACATTTTATCAGTTTGGTCTCTAACGTCTCAATTTTATCAATTTAGTTTTTAAAGTATTCAATTCGTATTTAAATGATCTATACATAGACGGACCATTAAGTTTTTTATGAAACAATCATATGTTGGGTATATGACACCGTCTGAAAGAATGACATGTGGTCACTTCACTTCCGTCAAAATACATAACGAATTGTCTGATTAAGGACCAAAGTGACACAAATTAAAACTTTATAGACTAAAGTGATAAATTTAATACAATGAAAATCAAATTGATAAAACGGGCATACTTTATGAACTAAAAGTGCTATTAACCCTCCTTGTAATTTGTTCAAAGATTGTGAATGTAGACTACTTGGTTATTGGTCTAACAAAAATTCAAATTTTTGAAGGGGTCATAAGAAATAGGGTGGATTTTGAACTTGAATCCCAAGTTTTCCTCTCTTACCAACTTATCTATTGTATAAATTTCAACACACACACACGCACATACGTATGTGAGTAGATTAAGAGATGGGTAATATTAAACTAATCCAAATCGGACCAAAAATATTAGACCAAATGATAACATGGCGTTGACCAAATATTAAACAAATAAAAATGAGATTAAAAACATTATTATATCAACGTTATATCATTTAGTCTCTATTTTCTGGCCAGTCTAGTATTATTACCTTTTAGTTATATAGGGTTTTAGTCAATTGGTTCATATAAGATTTGGTGGTGGACTTTGGGTAAATTTTTCATGGGAAGTTTCTTGGTGGTGAGAGGTTGCTTGAGTTTTGTATGTTTGAAGTTTGATTGGAAGTGTTTGCTTTGTCAAATTTCTTACCAGACATCATAACATATTGAAACCTGCACAAGAGCATAGAATCAATCCTCTGACATCTAAACATAATGTAGCGTGTAAGATTTAGATTCTCTCCAATACATTTATTTCAATTTTATTCAAGAGCTAACCATCCGTCATGAATTGAAGTTAGACTCGTCATATATAAGTGGGTGTCATTAATCCATAATAGACGATCTACTATTTAGAAAAAATAAACTGATGTAGATCCCGACCCGTGTAACATTAGAAGCCGTTCCTGGATTGGTGTGATGGAATAAGGCTAGCCCAAATCTGCAAACTTTCATTAGCACCAAAAAAAAAAGTCTGGTGGGATCATTCTTCATCCAATTTTGCATAAATGAGTCTGGCCCACAGATTTTTTGTCATGCTGCTGCAATAAACTATCCCAATATCAAGCATATAAAAATAAAGCATTTTTGTCATTAGCTCAATTTGAAGTTTAGGGGAGCAATTTGAAATTAGTAACAAAATTCATGGGGCATTTATGATGTTTACCGCATATCTTTCCATATACCAAAAGAATCATTTTCTTAGCAAAGAGCCCTCCCTCTTTTCTATTTTTCTGGAACTTTAAATTATTAAATTAGGTCTCGACTGCCACTAAGTAACACCCTCAAGTCTCAACTACCACTAATTAGGGTTCAGCTCCTCTGCTATTATTCTTTATTTAAACATTCATAAAATTATTCTTATAACTCTATCACTTCTTATACTTGTTTATCTCAAATACTTGGATGAGAGAACAAGAAATAATTAGAAAGAAAATTTTAAAATAAAAAAAATTAAAAATTAAAAACAATGGATCATACATTCCGTGGGCTGCACGGGTCAACCGCTAGTTTTAAATTAAAAGAATGCTAACCTGCCTAACTGCATGAGGGAGCACTGGCGTGTCCGTCTTCTCCCCTTAAGTTGACAAAAATCCCCCCTGATTCAAATATGGTTTGACACCATTCTTGTTATTATTAAAACTTGAGGGACAAGTCCACCCCAATCTAAAAAAAAAATGGGTATCGTTCTGTCATTTATTATTTTTATGAGTATTTTTATCACTTTTATAGTACTTGTGATCAATCCTAACATTATTAGTAAAAATAGTTACAAAAAAAAAAATAAGAACACTCACAAAAATGATAAAAATGTACACAATAATGGTAAATTACCCACAAAAATTGTAATCTTTTTTTTGTCATAAAATAACTCACAAAATTATAAAAACACTCATTAAAGTAATAAAATTTAGAGTTACGGTACCGAATATTTTTCTTTTAGGTACCTTGGTCAATTCCAAACTTGATAAGCTCTGTTTCAACACGGTACACGCAAAACTAACAGGTTGAAATGTCAGTGGGAGAGAGTTGGATGCGAGGATAATGTATAAAAAAGTAATGTTATTGAGACCTAAAAAATTAAACTAATTTGCATACTCTTAATGATATGGCAATGATATAGTTCAGTCATGCTGCTATGACTATAGCTATTAGATTTTTTTATTAGCACTCATAATAAGTAATACTACTCGGAAATAAAAAAAATTCAACCTAATTTTTTAAAATATTGGGTCAAGTAACGATATTGTCGACTAGACCCTAGAGGGGCATGGACCCCCTCCCTCCCCACCCTCGTCCTCAAATTTTAAAAATTCATATTTAGTAAGCGTATATGATGTAATCATATGGATAAGTGTCGCTTGTACTGACTAAGACACTTATTGGATTATTTTAATGATTTAGAGAAAAAAACAAGAAACTTTTTTGAAAAAAAAAAAAAGAGAAGGATACAAATATGATTTATATTCAAAGTTGGTTGACTTATAATTCATTTTTATTATGGTATCATATAAAACTATTATTTACGACTTTGATTTATTTATAAACACAAGGTTACATTTATAAACACAAGGTTACATTTATAAACAAGGAAAAAAAGAGGAGATTAAAACAAATAAATTTTTATGACGGTATGAACCACTTTTGAGTTTTGTGTTCAAAAATAATTTTTTTGATATCATTGCATAAAAATTAAATTTAATAGATTTTTTTAAAATAAAAATTTATTTTGAAAATGACCGTCGAATAAACCTGTTGAATTAAATTTTTGTCTTTATTGTTCTTGACCTATAAATTTTTGGTTCTGTTCCTGTTGTCGACATTAAACTTACCTGTCAACAAGATAGCAGTAGGCTATATGCTCAGGTTTGGCTCATGATCGGCTTTGTTTTAAATTGTTCAAACTTGTTATTATTGAAAATAAATATATAAAAAAAAACCCAAATATAATCAATTTTTTAAGCTTGTTCAATACTGAAGCTGCGTCCAAATACTGTGTTGTTCGACTTAGTAAGTTCAAAATCGATTTCTTCACACACACATACTTGGTGAAAGTTCAACAAAATAGTGCGCTCATCTTAATGAAAAAACGTCAAGACTTCTATAACCGAGAGGTAAAGTGCCCATTGCAATATGAAATTGTCTACTTGCCACCGACCACTGGGGCAACAGTGAAGAGCATGATGATTCTATAAAACGGTCAAAACATCTTAAACGTTTTCGTTTTTTATATAAATCGAAACGAATTATTAATTGAATATCAAAATTTCTATGTTTCGAAATATTGCGGTAAGTTTCGTTCCATATTTCAAAATATTTCGACTAATATTTCAAAAATAAATTTTTAAGTTATTCTTTATTTCCATCTTATTTTCAAAATGTTTCCAAAACATTTTCGAAACATTTCAATTTATAAGTTTATTGAAACGAAACTTTGATCGTTGTCCTTCTGATTAACAATTCTCCCTGAAAATTCAACTATTAAGAGCCATAAAGGTATCATGTCGATATTACCATAAGAAGAACATGGGAAGTCAAATAACTCAAAATGGTGACACACTTCAAGCCTCACGGACCTTATAGCTCTCTGCTAGACAAGTTGAACCACTGCCCCCTTTCTTTTCGCAGCATTCATCCATAGGGAGGTTTTAAGCTTGGAATATCAAAGTGTCTTGGAAGCCAAGCTTTTTTTTTTTTTTTTTAGGTTCAACGGTCAAAAGCGTCCAGCCAACTTATGCACAACTTGACTAATCTCCTCCCTGATCCGATCAAAGATCGACATTGAAATAAAATGAAAACATAAACCAGGTCAGATCAGAAAATTAGAGGCAATCTTTTCAATTATCAACCCACCAAACCAGGGACAAAGCAACCTTTGTCAAAAGCTAAAACTGGAAATAAATAAGGGAGAATCATTTTTACAAAATGTAACTTTTCCCAAAGGGTTACAACCTCACTCCAAATCTAAGGACCCAACATTTCCCTCAAATAAATAACTACGACAGTCAATAGCCTGCTAGTTGATGGGCAAGCTTCATCATAGATCCCTTTTCAATGTCCATTTGAAGGTCGAAACAGGGTATAACCATTGACGCCAACCGACAGGTTTGGATAATCTGGAATATGATACGCGTAGCCATTACTATCAGTGGCCCTCGTGTCAAGATAGGAGAGATCAGAACCAGCCATTCGCCACTGGTTTGGAATCACCCCATCAATCTGCCCATTCACGTAAGGTCGTGGACTAGATTGGGAGATCATATCCCTCGGGGGGTCAAAATGACCTCCAGAAGAGCCGTAACCATGTTGGAAGCCATCATCACGGTAACTTCGAGTTCGTTCAAACCTGCAAGAGTTGGTTGATGGACCCAGGTCACTTGACATGCCAATATCACCGGGGAAAGTGAGCTGCCGGTTCAGCTGATGAGGCCCATTGCTGAAACTCTGAAAGCCTGTATTTTCCCTGGTTGACTTCCCAATTCCATGTTCATCATCAAGCAGGTCATTGATAATGTCAAGGTGTGGAAATTCATCTCCCAAGACACTCTGGGTCTGACGACCTGATGCACTCAGTGAAAACTCAGGAGGGAAGTGATCCTGGGATCTGCTGTGCACAGGCTTGAACAAGTCAAAGTTTTGAATGCCACCAATCACGGGAGAAGGATCATAGTACATGCTTCTGCTGCTATCTCGTTGAGGGCCATCCATCCATTGGAGTCCATTTTGCAGCATGTCATGGTGTACCATTCCATATGAGAAGCTTGGTTTGATTGGGTTTTGTTCCATTCTCTCAGAGCTCTGTGGTAAAAACACCGGTGCAGAGATCATGGTAGGCAGTTGGGTGTACGAGTGTGAAGAATCAACAGATGAACTCGGAGAATGAGGCTGAATGAAACCAGATGAACATGCAGTAACAGGACCACCCATCATAGCATTTCTGTAGGACTGAGGAACATAACTATGGGTTGCAGCTGAGGGTTCAGGGCCCAACCGACCAGCTGCACTCACAGAACGTGCTAGTAATGGTGGTGTCTGAACCATGGTAACACCAGGGGCAGCTGGCCTGGGTCCTGGAATTAGAGGTGCACTTAACGGCCTCGACATGACAGGCACTTGCTGTGCTATGGACTTCTCTGCTATGACAGGCACTTGCTGTGCCATGGATTTCTCCACTGTGACAGGCACTTGATGCAACATGGACCTTCCGCTTGTTACAGGTCCTTGCTGTGCCATGGGCTTTTCTGCTGGTTTTGGAGTCGCAGCTTTATGGCTTTCTGCTGAAATTACCACTGGGGCTGTCTTACCATTTTGTTTGAGGCTTTCTGAAGATGGTTGCCTAACAGAAAAAGAGTCGCTAGCAGCACTGATCTTCAACTCTGACTTTGGCTGAACAGCGGATTTGGGATTTTTAGGAGGGCTCCTGGGAGGGGATGGCAGTCCTGTTGTCTTTTCTGTTGGTTGTCTTCCTATATCAACCTCATCTTTAACACATAGTTTTCTTTGTAGAGAAACAACTTCCTCCTCCTGATGCACAAGAGGGAAAGCTCATAATGTCAAATGGAAGTCCAACTTAAAGAAAAGAAAGCAATATGAGATTGTGAAATAATGTCACTCTGAAACAGGAACCTAAAAGTTGCACATATACGTTAAAAAAAAAGGTAATAAAAAGAAACCTAAAGTCACCGAATTATCCAAAAAATGCGTTCATTGCAACAATTACAAACACAAATAAGGTGAACTAAAATTTGGGTTTCTCTTTTTTTTTTTATTGGTTTTTTGTTTTTTTTCTCAGGGGGGAAGAACTGCAAGGAATGCAATCTTCACAACTTTAAGTATCATTGCAAAACAATTCTGCATTATTCAAGAATATAAATAAAAATGACGAAAGACAATGAAGAATACAGAATACTCTCCAAAACATTAGCAGTAAACTCATTGCACACAATCTACAGACATACAAAGGATCCAAAGATTGGATAAGTATAATTTTCTCCAAAAGATAAACCAAAAGACATTAAAACATGAACCACCAACTCATGCTTTCATAGCTAATTGCAAGTTTTTTGCTCAAATGCTATAGGTGCTAAGCATCACAAGACCATTAGCATAGAGATTCTCAAACACTAAAGATGTTACAGAACTAAAGAAACAGTCGTAATACCACCTTCTTCACTACATGGTGCTCAAGCCACTTTATCCGTTCCTGCAATGCCTGAGACTCAGATTCAGCCACCTCACAACTTCCAGATACATCACTTGACTGCCCCACATCAGAGGCAGTTTCAAATGGTTGACTATGCAATTCACTACCCCAACCAGTTAATTCGTTAGTAGCCTTGCCACGCTGGTTCCCTCTGAAAAATTTAAACACAAGATCATATGATGTGCCAAATGATCTTTCCCAGAAACAACAGAACAAAAATAGGCAATCAATGTTTCCCGGAAACAACAGAACAAAAATACGCAATCCATGTTACCTGCCAGGTGATTTTTGGCTTGGTTGATTTGGAAGTAAATACCCTTTATAGGACCCATTCATTGCAACAGATGGTACTGAGTCTGTGGAACACGACGATGAACTATCATCCATTACAGATGGACCTTTCCTTCCTCCAGTTCCATTTTGCACAGCTGAAAGGCCACTTATTCCACTGCCACCAGCTTCCATGGGAGGATTAATTTCTGATGTGTCAGTATCCCAATTAACAGGACTAGCATCTCTATCTTCTGAATCAGGCTGGAGTATTTCACTGGCACAATCTACTGAATCAGACACATCAGAAACATCTTCAAGTGTTTCAGGCTTTTCCATTACTGGTTCTGCCTCCTCGGTCAAGATAACTTTTCTTTCAGTACTAGCACTTTCTTCAGGCTTGTCTAGTGATATTACACCAGGATTTTCATCCCTTCCTTTATCCTTTACTTTGCGATTATTTCGTTTTTGTTTGCCCTAGCACAATAAATGCATCTGAATTAAAACTAAAGGGTTGGAGATGCACAACGATTTCCAACGCAAACACAGCCCCCAAAAAACACCCGAAAAATTAAGTAGAGCAAGAATGAGTAACGAGAGAAAAACTAAAAGAAAAAGAAAAAATATATAGAGAAAAAGCAAGAAAGAAAAGGATAGGTATATACTGCACACATCAAACAATGATTAGACAATGTCTACTCAAAACACAAGCCACATAACTGACAAAAAAGGAAAGGATATCAAAAACCTCAAAGCAAGAGCAAGATGCTTATTAAACACACAGCCAAGGCATCAACCTACAAAGGAACCAAGTCACTGGTTCAACCGTTGGATCACTGGTCAAACCGATCATACTATAAAAAATAAAAACAATTATAAATAATCATAGTTATTAGTATCGTACGATACGCGATATGTATCGTACGATACGTCACGATACACCCGAAAAACGATACATATCATGTCTCTATATCATTTTTGCACCATATCGTACGATACAAGATACGATACGTACAATACGCCCAATACGTACGATACATGACGATTCTATTTTTTTATTTTTTTTTTTTGGTTTTTTGCGGTTGAAATGACATCGTTTTATCCTAAAACTTATTTTTAAATCACTAGCTAGTAAAACAAAGTCGTTTCAGTGGTTATGGTTTAAAAAAAAATAAATAAAGTATGTTGTTAATGTTGTTCCATTGAATTCAAAATTTATGATTAATATTAAGGTTGTTCAACCAGTTGATGTTAGAAGTTTGGATTAGGTCTTTACATTTTGATATTACTGAATTATATTGGGAACTTGAATAGTTGGTGAAATATTAATGAAATGTTATGTTATTACGAATTTATGAGTCTAACTTTTTTACAAAGGTATATACATATTTTTTATTAATAATTATTTAAAAATTAAAATTGCGCTTATCTTACGATACACGATACGATTTGATACACTATTTTTAAAAACAATACGTCTTCCGATACATGATTTAACAACTATGCAAATAATAACTAGGCCATAAATAATAAAAGTATAAACATAATATATTTTATGTCAAGTGCATCAAATTAAACATATAACAAAAATATAAACATTTTCATAATGCACCAAAGACAATTTACCGAGGTATTCTTCAAATGTTCAATTCCAATCTTTCCACCGGGTCCTCCTTTGCCCAGTTTTGTGCACTCCATACCCACATTCGGTTCCTTTAAAACAATCCTTTCAGGCCTAAAGGGTCCTACTTTGGTATGCGCTAACATACTTCAACTTCAACCCTATCAATCCACAAATCCCGCACACAGACAGAGTTCTATTCATGGACATCGTTCACAATACCCAAAAATAGTGCCCGAAGCCCCTCTCCAGTACTCAACAAATTAACATCTGCTTTTGCAAACATCCTACAAACCATACATTATTCACAGGCCACAGCAACAAAGCTATTTTTAATCGTCCGTCTACCTCGAACTCTAAATTCGAGAAGTGTTCCACAACTTTAATCCACCATGCAATCAACCATAAGAGGCTCTACATATAATTTACTAAAGATGTCTGCGTTAATTAGGAGATGGCAAGCTCTCCTAGCTCTAAAAGATTTCACTACTCCATTCTAATCATCTTGTCGTTACCTCCCCTAAACCTGCAATCCTCGAAGCATGACCCCAAAAGCATCCGGTAGAGAGAGGGTTGGCATCACAAAAAGAGGGAGTAACATTATTGACCCAATGATAGGATCGAGACCGGTAGCCACTAGAAATCAAAAATTGTGGAAAAAAAAAAACTTTCTTTTGACCCTTCTAAATGAATGGAAAATACAAAAATGGGAATATATTTAAGTTAATTATGTACATGCAAATAGAGTCCCAAATTCCCAGTTCATACTATTTCATCATATCCAAATGTGATATGGTTCTGAAGGATGAACCACGTATGGACAGTAGTTCCAATAAAATTTCATTCTTGAACAAAAATCCCTTTTTTGGTTTATTTCATCCAATACCATAACCGAACAAGGAAGGATGGACATTAAATCTTGATTTTGATTTGGAAGAGAGATTAAGTCCTATTTTCTTCTTTTTATCGGAGAAGGATTAGAATTGGCTTTACACTCATTCCATACTGGGAAGAATTGCAGGAAATCAGCCGGTTCTAGCATCATCCAAAGCATGCTAACTATAGTTATCAAAATCGTACGATTCGCAATTCGATTCGTACGATTCGGTTCAATACGAATACAAAACGATTCGTATCTTATATGAGAATTGATTTAGAGTTGAATCGCACGTGAATCGTACAATTCATACGATTCGATTCGTATCTCACGAATTGCACAATTCAATTACTTTGTTTTAAAACCCAATTTTTTGGCAAAACGATATCATTTAGTCCGTTAAACAGTAAAACGACGTCATTTTGTTTACAGAAGAACCCAAGTCCTAAAAAAACTCAACCTTTTTGCTTGTTATCTCTCTCTGATGTCGTCTAAAGTTTGTCTTGCGTTGTCTAAAAGGTCACAGCTAACGCTCTCAAATCATCGGTTAATTTTTGCTCTCAATTTTTTCATAAGTAGTTTGTTATGTTTTAATTTTGTGTTTCAATATATTGGCTAGTATGTTTTCTCTCAATCAATTTTTTTATTTGTTATTTTTTCATCATGTTTGTAACCTAATCTATATTAGGTGTCACTATTTTAATTCTTGAATAATCATGGTTCTTTAATGAATTTTTTTTTCAAATTGTTAAATTTGAAAATAGTTAAGTAAAAGACGAAAAAGAAACAAAAGGCTAGCGTCTTTCCATTTAGACGATGTAATTATATCAATTGATTATTTTTAGAATGTAATAATATTTAATATTCAATATTTTGTCTATTTTAAATATGTAGTATTATTATTTATTTTTTTAAAATTTGGAATTGAATCTTACGATTCACGATTCTCAAATTTAGGATTCCGATTCACGATACGAATCATGATTTAACAACTATGATGCTAACAATGGTTATACAATGGACCAGAATTGAAAAGAATGAAAATTTTAGAGGTAGAATGGTCCTTTGTTCCTTCATTTAGTCAGCAAGTGGCACTTCCATCTCGATCTAATCATTCACACCCCAAAAATTAAGTGGTTTGTTAGCAAATATTAGCCTCTAGCATCAGTTGAAACAAGGGATGTAAAAATGAGGAAGGGCATGCAATCCCACACCACTTTAGCCAGAAAGCTACAACTACCCGTAATAACTTGAAATGGATTTTCTGACAACAAACCTTGGACTACTTCCTCGAAAACTAACACATCACCTCCCTAACAACTAATATTGATGTGGAATAAGTCCTCAAAAAAATCATCTCACCTCCCGATCTATAATTTGCCATGAACAAAGGTGGTACACGTGCATCCCTCCTATTTATCACTTTGTCTCCAACCATGAGAATTTTCCAACGGCAGTAGGAAATAAATATGGAAAAATTCCTCTTTTACTTATTGAGAATTACACATTAATATCTACTCCTCTCATAAGACCTAAAAGACCAATCGTTACATATTCCCAAAGCTCCATCCCATAATGGCAACCTTGGTCGTAAATTATCCCCTTCAATGGCAAATCTCCATAACCATTTACCCATATAACCTTGTTTTATCACCACAACAGCCTAATCCCAAGCCTGTTGAACTTTAAGTCCACTATGCCAGTTTTCAATTCATAATATGGTGCCTCAACTTCTCAAATGAACAAGTCCAAAAGAAGTCCTTTACGACCTTCAGAAACCAAATGCCGCAACACAAGTATTCTAAAATGTAAAGTCAACACGATTTAGTCACAAGAATGCTGAAAGCACCTTGGATCAAAGAGCCCCCATGTTCATCAATAGACAACCACTTCCAAAACTGTAGTCATGACGTTTAACAACAAATTCTGCACTTTAAGGACCAAATCATGCACCTTGAAGCACAAGGACTAAAATGAGGCTGAGTATACAACCTGGGAACCACCAATGTGTTTTATCAAATCCTATCATTGAACTACATTAGACCTTTTTTGCTCTTCCAACATGCGACGGTTTGAATCGCACTAAAGGAATATCTCCCACTTTGCATCCACATTTACCAACCAAAGAAACAGTATCCACATGTTAGAGATAGAATGTTCTCAACAGAGGCTAAGACACAAGTTAGACAAATGAAATCACACAGATTTCAATGTATTCAGTCACCCAGTTGCCTCAACCCCACTAACCATTTCAGGCATAACAAGCTATAATTTTGACTTTTTGAGGCATGAAATTTGTCAACTTGAGTCAAGGATAATTTGTGAATTTAGTTGTCAAACCTGCTTTTTCTTCGATTTCTTTTCCTTTTCAGCTGCAGCACGTTTAGCTTTCTGCTCACCTCCAGCCATCCAGGCTGCCTCTTCTTCACGAATGAGCTCCTCTTGCCTCTTCAAAGAAACAGCCTCCTGATATGAAACTTCAATTTTACTGCTGTAACATGAAGAGAAGTTATAAGTCAGCACATAGGAAAGAAAAGAGAAATAAATATAAGCACAATGGAAGAATAGATTTATGTAACTGACCCAAATAGTTGGGACAAGAATTTGTTTACTTGACAAGGCATAAATAAATTTGCCATTAGGCACACAAATATGAAACATTAAAATCACGTAATGGCATAATATTTTGACTAGATTATCCCCACCCCCACCCGCAAGAAACAAACCAAAACAAAGTAAGTTAACCAAAACCCTCAATACATTACAAAACTCAAGTTCTCCGTCAAAATAAATTACTACATCACTTCAAAACATCATGAGGGAAAACCATACTTTGAAGAATACCGGACAGAAGGTTTGACGAATCTATCAGAAAACCATACTCCCCCTTGTAACCAAATTTCTAACCAAACAAAAAATGTAACCAAATTTTGCATTGCGGAGGGGGGAGAGAATATGATCATTTAAGTTTCCTTTTTTTCATAAAGGCATGGTCATTTAAGATAATTATCTAGCATATGGCCCCACTTAACCTGAGAAATTAGGTGGCATGATAATTAAGATAATTATCTAGAATATGGAAGTGTTCAACTGTCTAAACGTGGATTTTAACTTGTGCTGAGTTCTGTGTGTAGTATGGGTTTGAATGTGTATCTCTTGTTCCAAAACTCTTCACATTTGGATCCCTCGAATATTTATTAAGTAAGCTATAAATTGTGTTAGACAATGCCCTTGGTCAGAATGTTCCTAGGATCCACTACCACATGTAACATACAGGGCTTAGAAAGATGGAACTTCATAAAATCCGTCTTATATTAGGATTCAGTAATGTGGTGTTGTTTTAGGCCTGAAAATTTTCCATTTTCCAACAAAATATTTTCGCCAGGATAATTATATTGAGCGTTAAACAACAACAAATGAAACTGGGAATAGGGCCATACAATTTCCAACAACAAAAAGACACTATTTAAAGGCAAAATAAATGTAAATTTCCTACCAATTCCTTTATTAAAGGGAAAGACCATAGCCCATCCAAGGCTCATTTATCAACTAGGGCTAACTTTAGTTACATCCCAGTGGTATTGACAATTTACAACACCAAGATTCCCACTTCATTTAGCTATGCAAGTTAGCTGATCACCCAACTAAACAAACAAACAACCATACTGGGTTTGTATTTTTTTTTTTTTTTGTTTTGGTGGGGGGGGGAGAGATTATTCTGAAAGCACAAGTTTACCGTTGATCAACTTATTAACAAGGAAAGAGAACTATGCTCTCACATTATAGCTTCCACAATAGAAGGATATAGGCAAGATAGTATTCTCCAGATTACAAATTAAACAAAGATAAAACCAGCCTGCTAACATATAAGCATAACTTCAATGATATATACACTTCCCTTATATTGCAAAAATATAAAAGGAATGTACTGGTATGGGAATTCTTAAAGAAGTGTGATTTGCAATAGTAATATAGCTTTGAGCTAATGCTAATCATCCCCGCCCCGCATTTGCCAGCTGATTTAAATTTTAACACACACATCCAAGTCAATGGACTGCTTTTGGATCTTAAAAGGAGAAAACACCCACTTTGCCCATAAGACAGGCCCTTCAGATAAAAATTTCTCATATTAAGAAATTATTATTCAATCTCATCGAAAAAGAACTCATAACTGTAAACGAGTCTTTTACTTCTATTCCATTACATTTCAACCACGCTTTATCCATCTAACACAGAATTTACAAGGGGAGGCATGTTCCTTTGTTTTCAAATGTATAAAATTTTTATATCTTTCCTTTTTAACTACAATGAGGTATACCAATCACAAATACGTATATGAATCGAGAAGGGCCTGTCAACTTGCAGGTAACATTGTGTAACAGATGCAAGTTGATAGTACAAACTAAGAACATGCTGTTGTGAACTTAGAATTACATTCCCTCCCTTCCCCAAAGTATACCATTACGACAAGCGGGAGAACGACAACACTCGGTGTGAGTTGGCAAGTGAGAGAGAGAGAGAGACCATATAACAGTAATACAATGCCTTTTATACTGAGAACTCAAAAATAAGGAACAGCTCCAAGGACAAGGAGAGAAGAGTTCCAAAGTAAATTATAATCAATTAACAGATTACCTGAAAATATGGGCAAGGACAAATATTTCAATAGTCCTACGACCCAGTTCAGTAAGACGCCTTTCATCCCGTTCAATGGAGTCTTTGTTGAAGTCTTCCCCAGAACTCCCATCCTAACATGGATAAGAATTACAGAGCCAACAAATGGATAAGTGATAAGTGGCTACAATTCATCATATGTGAAGTATGAAAATCGAAAAGAAAGCATAGGAACCAGAGAATTTTAAAAAACTGAAAGCATAAGAATCATAGAAATATAAAAACTAAAAGCATAAGAAGCAGAGAAATTAAAAAAACTAATGTTATACATGTTTGAAAGATATCAACCCCCCCCCCTTAAAAAATAACAAAAAAATAATAAAAAACACACAAAAACCAAAAAAAAGTAAAAAAAAAAAAAAAAAAGAAAAGGAAGGTCTTTAAAGTAAATGAAGAAAAAATTAATGAATCAAACCAAAACGAAAGTTAATCAAACCTAATGTGAATCAAATCTTGTTGCAAGATTGAATATTCAAACGCTATAAAATTATTCAAGCACAACAATGGAATATAAAAAACTAGTTTTCCTCAGAAACATTAAAGGGGCCTAATGCCCTCGTACAAAAGAAGATCATCAGAGCTCCAAATTCATAACAAACCCGATATTCCATTTCCATAATGGCCAACAATTATTTGAAAGGCAATTATACACCCCAAAAAAAAATTAACATCTATTTAAACCTTTGTCCTCATAAGAATCATAAGATCACCCATCTCCAACCCACGACTTGCAGCCCAGTCCCTACCCTTTGTGATTGGCAAGAGATACCCCCCCTTCCAAGCTAACCAATCGTAATCAAGTTTACAAACAATTCTAATGTCATATTGCTGACCTTTGTACGGTTCTGAGGACCCTTCTCATCTTTTGGAGGCAAGGGCTCCATGGCAGCTCTTTCAAGCAGTAATAAAACATCATCCACCAGAATAAACATATCCTTCTCTGTGCGAACAATAGGAATTGGTAGTTCTTCGGCGTCCAAATATTTTCCCCTACCTTTCTTGCTCTTGGTCTGGCCTTCAAGGGCCTTCAGTCCACTGTACAAGGAATCCATTACCAAAGTGGATGTGACTTCCTTTTCAATAAAGAAGTGTTTTACAACCACCTTCAATATTGAATCTGCTTTCTCCCTGGACATGCGACGCTTGGCATTTTGGTCCATTCCAACCCAGAATGAACAGAAGCTGAAAATTATAGCCAGTTACAGGTCATTTATTGAAACAAAAATGTCCAAGAAAGAAAAAAAGCTAATGAAGAGATTGTCAAATCAGAACATAAATAACATCAAAAGATAAAGCATGACAGGCAGGGGTATCAAAAATGAATATGTTCTAGAACCAAGTCTTTCACAACTGAATTAGTTTGACAACAAAAGAGAATTATGAAAACCAGCCTCCCCTACCTTGACCATCTAGCTTTATCCTCTATTAACTTCCCAAGCTTGCTTCTTCTCTCTTCCACAAAACGGCGACATATTTGCTCTACATTTGTTAAATAAACCCGAACAAGTTCTCGTCTATACTGACAGTCCAGGCAACGAAAGGGACTGTCTGCTCTCTCCCTACAAACCAACAGCATAAATCCGAATTCGTTATCTCAACAACATATTTGTGGAGAAAATAAACACAAATAAATATTCACCGACATATCAACTCAATCATAGAAATTCGAATCAAGGTCATATATAAGCATGCCACCTGTATGAGACCACAAAAATGTCACATTCAGGATCGCCTTTGAAACCCTAACTAGAAAAGTACTGGTCTGAATCGTAGATTTAAAAGGGAAAGCATCAGGCAAGGCACAAATCATTTTATTCTTCAACTATTGCAAACAAATAATATAAACTAGGTAAAAACAAATCATAATAACACTCATAATAATCAAATATGAAATAAATTTAGACCATTTACAACGGCCTATAATGGAATCCCCAAGAATGAAATATCAAATAAACATCTTCTACAAGACCAGAGCAGCAATATTTTTATATCATACACCCCTCAATGATTACATGGTTCAATGAAGAAAATGATACTATATAACAAGAAACAAAAAGTAACAATAATGACAATAAATTGCCATGCAATATTACACCAAGCGTTTAATGAGCCATATGCCCCACAAACGAAGAAAGATGGCAGCCCAATGCAAAAGGCTCCCGCCACTGTAGGGTCCGAGGAGGATCAAATGTACACAACCTTATCCCACATGTGAAGGGTTGCGGACCCGCGACTCTTAGTCACAACAGCGTAACTTTACAACTGAGCCAAGGTCCACCCTCAATCAAGGAAAGACATATGATGCAGACAATTATGACTAAGGCAAAAGGCATACCCTTAGTAATGACTGAGATTAGGAAGCATACACCTAAGGAAAGACATATAAACAGCAGTAGATGCTGCAACCATTGTGAGAAGGGCACAAAGCATTGGAAGTGGTAGCCGCACTGTGAGGCATGTCTGCCCCATTTGATGTCAACAGCGAAGAATAACAAATGAAAACAGAGACTAAAAAGCTATGAAAATAAATGATTCGCAAAGTACCTGATAACTTGGACTTGAGCTTTAATAATCAGAGTGTCAGTGTCAGCATCGATAAACCCATCATACACCTTCGGAAGCTCCATAAATTTTTTCCATCCCCAGTCATGCTCTTTTTTCCAGAATCGATGTAATGTATCTGCAGATTTCACATTTGGTGCTTTAATGCTTAACAACAATATGAGTAAAAAATCTACTACAACACCAGTATCTAGCCAACCAACCAGAGTACTTAGATTTCTTTGGATCTTTATTCACCACAGCTATTGTGAACTGCGCAAAATGACTCCACCCTGTTTCAATGAAGGAACAACCAGATGATATCAACTCCAAACCAACCCAAAACATTAAATATAACATATAAACTGAATGTCAGAATACCTGGAAGAAGCTTGTCATGATTAGCAACACAGAGAAACAAAGAGAGATGATTGCAGACATCACATCCTTGTGGGTAAATCAAAATGTACCTGCCAATCATCGCAATAAGCATAAATCATCACACACAATGTGCAGCAACTATTGGCATAATATCGCTGATATCACATAAGTACTGTATCCTAAATGGAACCAGCAGCATGACATATAGCAGGGACAGTACAGTGTCTTCATTTTCCACAAAATAAGTGAAACCCCAAATTTTCATATTCAAAGCAATACCAAAAATGCTGTAAACATGGAGTTGTCAGTGGGGGATAAGGGCAATGCATGAACCAACAGGCCAAATCTTAATTCAATTGCCTAAGGCCCCAACCCAAGCATATCAGAGATATCACAGGGGACTCAGAAACACAAAAAATGTGATGTGACTATGATCTCTCTGCAACATATCCCAACAGGCATGTTTCCATTCAAATGTATTACATATGAAAGACACAAGCCAATCCATGGACCAACTTCCGAATTCAATTCAATCGGTCCTCTGTCTGCACCCATGTAAGTTAGTAAAAGCTCAAAATGTAAGCCCTGCACTAGGTATCACTTTAAACCTGAAAAACTGATAAGAAATTCACTGAGGCATAGGGAGGAATAAGTCCCTCGCCCTATTACCAAATCAGAATATCCTACAGAAACAAGATGTTGGAACTGCGTCACAAGAGACACAAATGCTCGAGTACATCCCTGAATTCTGAATCTGGACTTCTCTGTGCATAAAATTGGTCACTTAGAAATACACATGGATACATATAGATAATCTGACTGTGACATGATCATGATATTGAAAGGGTGTGCCTGAAGAATGAGAATCCAGGTTCATAGCAACAAAAACAAGTGGAAGAAAAAAAGAAGCATGCTTGACCAACCATTTTAGTTCATAAAGCCCCATACCATTTGTAGCCACCAACTTCAAATGCATTACTGCGAAGTTCTCTCTTGTTAATCTGAGAAAATTTATCTATCTTCCATGTGTACTTTCCATATAACTCCGAAGGCTTTGGTCCTACAGAGTAAGTAGATAGTTAATCAAACTTATAACTACCAAATTGGTGCATTATTCAACAAATGCATAAAGCTGCACTTATGGCTTTAAACACAAAAGGCTGCAAGAAAAAAAATTGTAACAGACAGACAGACAACTATCCAAAGGCTGCCCCATCAAAATGGCTTATACATCCAAACTCCATTAAGAGAGAGAGAGAGAGTCAGTCCTAATGGCTACTTTTTTTTTCATAAATTGTATTTCAAGGCATGTTAAATTGCATAACTCAACTCAGCTATGAATACATACATAAAGGAAAAGAAAAGGCTGATATTGCAACAAAGTATAGAAAAAAGAAAGAAAGAGAAGGAAAATGGAGAAGAAAGAGAGAAGGGGAAAATAGTTAATGTAAAGTTAATAAAAAGAGTGCACATGCTACATGCAAATATTTTGGCTTCCCAGAAAGAGTTCCAGTTAGCCCAAAGTTAACCATTCAGGATAAAAGTGAGGGGAAAGTTCCCTAGAAAGTTGGATGCTTTGTAGGGGAAGCAAAGATGCTTTGGTATTGAAGAGTAAATGAGCATAAAATTAATCAATGATCGGGATTTTGGTAAGAGAGAATGAACAAGATAGAACTTTTCCGAAATTCATTTATCTTTGATTAGGGCGGGTTGGAAGTCAGTCTGTGAGTTGCAATTTTCACTTTAGAGCATGTTGCATCTACTTTTGTGTTGCTTCATATTGATGGACTTCTTGTCCCTTAGGTAACCCTTTTTCTATATTAATAAAAATATTTGATGTTGATTATCACCACAAAAAAAATTTGAACTGCTAAACTTGACAATACTTCAATGTGATCTCTTACGGTGGCTGCAAAATCTGTCCTTATCTCCTAATACAAATTGACTCAGTGAGCACACTTCAGATTCACATATGCATCAGCCAACAAATAGGCTAACTTCTCAGCCAACAAGAAAGCTTGCAGAAAAAGCACCTCATTTGTTTGCAGTTATTGTGTATGTTATAGCATTGAAATGATGGTAAAAATGATTAAGATTATTTGATCATAGGGGGACAATATGATAAGAGAAGCTCTTTTACTCTTGTTAAATAAGGCCCTAATAGAAGTAACCTTTGCTTCAAAATCAACCATATCTGTACATATAAACACACCAAAAGGATTTTTTTTTTTTTTTTGGGTTGGGGGGCCTGCAGGGAGAGAGGGGGTCAGTCCACTCTCTGCATCCAAGTAGAATTCTCGTTCTACTAATCTAAAAAACTTCATATGATCCCGAAGAACAAAAACTGCAGAGACTAAATCAAGTCTGCAATTACTCCAAAATAGTCAGCAGAATTTAAAACCAAACAATAGCTCAAAAAATGAGAAAAGCAATACAGAATTCACTATTGCAGGTGATTGTATGCGTCCCAAGTTGGCAGCCTAAATGAGTGGCATCACAATTACAAAAGCAGCATAATTGGGATGCATGTGATAGGGAGATCAAAAATAGCATTTGGAAATAGTCAAAAATGTGAATTGACAGATTACAGAAGATTGAAGTAGACAAACAGCATACCACAGTCATCATCATCGTCAGTGTCCCAGTAAGGCGGGGAAGTTGATGGAGTTCCATTTTCCACCTGCTCAGATGACCGCCATTCTGCCAATGCTTCCCCAGGTTGGTAACGCTGCTGCCCACTTGACCCCTCCATAAACCTTCCAATTCCAGGCTCATCACTCACACTACTCCCGGCCATTTCCCACTCCAAAACTGCCCCACTCCAACTCCTCCAACTTCACTTGCCATGAAAGAAAGCAAAATCCATAAAGAAAGAAAAAAATCAAAATACAGTCAAACCTTAATTTTAGTTTAAAACAGAAACAAAAATCACCAAATGCACTACTCAGACATCTTCAATAATAATATTTGAATCCCCAAATAGAGTCATTAAGAACATAAAAAATGACGCACCATTGAAACAATTGAAAAATCTCGTGAAATCCCGATATTTCAAATTCTTCCAATTGACACAGAACCGAGTAATAGAATTGCATCAGAAAAAAAAAATCTCAATTTCAAAAACAGTAATTTCAATAAACCCTAATTCCACAATTTCAAAAGATTTGCATAACCAAACGCCAAACTCAATCGTAATAATTTATAAAAGCACCAAAAATTTCAACCAATCTACAGAAAACCACATGCATGGACTCAATTTGTTATAACTGGAATTAATCAACAGCCAAACAATCCATTCAAAACTCAAATCCAAATAAAGATCACCACAAAATACTTCGAAAAGACCCTCGTGATAACCCAACCCTAAAACAGGAAAGCCAATTGGAAACACACAAAAAAAAATAGATAAATAAATAATATTCTGGGAACAAGACAATCAATAGCATAGATCGAATGAGAAACACGGACCTGTAGCAAAGAACAGAGCTTTGTCAATGGCGAATGGAAGCTGGTTGTAGAATTCAAGAGAGAGAAATAGAGAAGGAGAGAGATTTGAGCAGCAGAGCAGAGGCGGAAACAAAATAAATATAATTTGCTATTTATATATCTATAATTCTATATTGTGGGGTATGGAATATAGATATATATATATATATATTTTTTTATTTTTTTATTTATTTTCTTGCTCCTTTTCTCTCTGACTCTTGGAAATAAAAAATAAAATGGGAAATAGAAAAAACTAATAATAGGGAAAAAAAATTGGAAAATATTTATCTGTGTATGTTGTGTGCTTATCATATATGCATTGAGGCGGTGACTATGTTGAAACGGGACGGTTTCTTGAATTTTTTATGCCCTGAACTTGGTTAATTGGCTGAACACTATGTGGGACCCACTTTTTTGTTAATTAGGGTTTTTGGTTAAGAGAGTTCAGTGGTTGATCTAAGATCATGGTTTTAATCTAATCGTCTCCTCTCCTATAATAATATTTGACCCAAAAAAAAAAAGTTAAGGATATACTATAATACTATTTTTATGATTTTTGTAGGTTGAAATATAAGTGTTTGGGTTTGTTTACAACAAATAAATTTACAAATTATTTTTATTTTTTTTAATATGAATTAGGATTTCGTATTACCAAGTATCACCACTTGTAGTCACCGTTAGTAGCAATCGCCACCACCACCCCACCTATTTTCACCATCTGTTGGGTTCAAAGTCAAGTTCGAAATCCAGGTCAAGTCTGAGTCTAGGACACCCGAGTTTGGAAGCATAGGTCGAGGTTCAAGATTAGATTCAAGTCTAAGGTCAAGACAAGTGTCCAAAGTCAAAACTAGGGTCTAGAGCTGAGGTCGGATTCAAGTCTAGGGTTTATGACTTGGTCTAGGTTGGGTTTCAATCAAGGTCTGGATCTATGGGTCCAAGTATAGGGTAGGTCTGGTTTTTGGGGTGGGATCAAAGTTTGGGGTTGTGTCCATGTTCAAGTCTGTGTTTGTGTCCATGTCCAAGTCTAGGTTTGAGTTCGAATTGGGTTCAGGTCTAAGATCAAGTTTAGGGTTCAGGGTCGAGATCGAGCCTAGGTTGGAAATAGTCTGGGTCCACTTGACATCTGGGTTAAGTGTCGGGTCTGGGTCCTTGTTACACCCATGCTTGAAAATGAATAATAAAAAATTGAATATCGAAGTATAGTGGGTTGGAAAAGTCATAGTGAAGTAATTGGGTTGAAATCGCGTGAAAGTATGTTAGGAGTAAACTCGTCTAATAAGATTGTATACAATCGATTCAAAAAGGTGGGGGAATTTCTTGAAAACAAAGGAATGTTAGAAGTACAAGCCCAAAAAAAAAAAGGAAAGTTAGAAGTAAAGATACTAGAATTTTTTTAAAAAAAATATCAAAACTCAAAATTAGAGAAAAAAATCATAAAATTTCACCCAATACGCATAAGACAACCTCCAAGTAGGAGGTGTCTTCTTTACCATCAACTTAGCCATGCAAGATTTGAGTAAGCTGCTTAGAGAGATAAACTCAAGCTAAGAGATCAACTTGAGTAAGAAAAATCATAAGTTTAGAGAGGGAAGAGGAGAGAGAATAAGAGGATTAGAGAGAGAAAGTGCAAGTTTTTTTTGGTTTCAAAGCTTGCAAATGAGGAACCAAGCTAGGGTAAACTTCTTAAACACATGCTTAGCATGAATTTGAGCTTCATTTGCATTGGCATTGTCTGAAATTGAAGAAGAGTGAAACCATAGTTTGAGTTTTTAAACTTGATTTTACGGGATCCTTGAAATCTTGTGTTTTGAGGTATAAAGGGGACCTAGTCCAATATTTTTGGGGTTAAGGAATCCGTTTTTGAGGTTTATTTCAACCGATTTGGTCATTTGGTAGGTCTAAAGTCCATTTGTTGGTCCATGTTTGAAAAATAGTTGAGTTGGGGTTTCTAAGCTTGAATTCCTTCAAATTCATACATGACTTGGACCCACCAAGAAAAGTGTAGAAAAGGAAGAAATATGACTATTGAGTTATCAAAAAATTTGAATATCGAGGAAGAAATAGATGAGAGAATTGGGTCAAAAAACAGTTTTTTTTTTGAAGAAGAAAGAGAAAGGGTGGCCAATCACCACAAGTCACTTCATTAGCGCGTGAAAAAATGCATGAGAAGGGTGTTAGGGGTATAGTTGGGACAACCATACTCCTTATCTAATGAGTTTTCCAACCATATTTTGTTTGACCAAATTCGACTCTGCTTGAATATTATGCCAACAATGACCGTTGTGCACTTTTTAGGGACTTTTATTTGAGTTGCTTTTAAAAAGTTCTACTGTTTGATTTTGACAATTGTCTGGGCACCTGGAACGAAATGTTAGGTTACACTGGTTCTTTGATGAGCTTTGATTTTCTAACTCTCTTTATTATTCGAGCAATTTTTAACAAATGTTGTATAAATGTTCTCAATAATTGTGATTAGGTGGAATACTAATTGTTTTGATTTTGAATCAAACTAAGCTTTTTGAAGTTGTGAACTTTATAGCTAATTTGTGAAACAGATTTCTTGAATCCATAATTGTGAAAAATATAGTGCACACAAGATAGAACAACAAAGGGCTAATAAGCCAAGTTTTTAAATTGTAAAGAGTTTAAGTAAGTTCATCAGTTCTAGTGACCTAGTAGCTTTTAGGCTTTGGTATCAATAGGATGAGGAAACATATCTTTCTTGGGATGTAATGCCCTTATAAGGTTGTTAGTTGATATTGAGGCATTGGAGATGTCCTCTCGACCATCTGATAGACTTTTATTTTCTTAATCGCATTATATTGAAAAAATACTTGATAAGTTTGACAAGAATGAAAACAGTATTGCTAGAATATCAGTTGATATAAATCTTTATTTATCTAAAAATACTGGACAATGTATATCACAATTGGAATATGTCATGAAATGCATTAGACTGGATATAGCATACTCAATTAGTTTTTTTTTTTTTGAACAATACTCAATTAGTAAATTAACTACATATACAAAGAATCTAGGAGTAGACCATTAAAAAACAATTATCAGGATTCTTAGATACTTAAGATATACCTTGAATATTGGATTGCACTATACAAGATATCTAGTTGTACTTGAAGGATATAGTGATGCTAACTGGATATCTAATATGAAAGATACAAAGTCCACAAGTGGTTACACTTGGTAGTGCAGCTATATCTTGGAAATCCTCTAAACAAACGTGTATTGTCAGATCCACTATGAAATAATTTATTGTTTTAGAAAAAGCAGAAGAAGAAGTTGAGTGACTTGGTCAGTTTAAAACATATTCTAATATAACCAAAACTTGTGTCAGCAATTTGTATATATTGTGATAGTCAATCTTCAATTGGTAGGGCACAGAGTGACATGTATAATAATAAGTCTAGACATATACATTGTAGACATAATATCATTAAATAATTGCTTTTAAATGGAATTATTTATATTAATTATATAAAATCAAAAGAAAATCTAGCGGATCTGCTTACCAAAAATTTGACAAAATATTCAGTAAATCAAATATCGAGGGGAATGGGATTTAGCCTATGACTTAAAAGTAACCTTAATGCAAATCCAATCTAGTTGACTGAAGATTCCAAGATTTAGGTTCAAAGAGACAACTGAATTATATGTAATTCAAATAAAGTACTAAGGAGATAATCACTCATATCTATTCCTATGAGAAACTAGTGTTGTCTGCAATGTTTATTAATTAGGGTTTTAATGACTTTTATACCTTAAAAATTCAAGTGAAATATTGCAAGATATTCCTAATAGGAATCGCCTTTAAGTGTGTGAAGGGGCCGTTTCTGTGAGAATTTGTAAAAGCTGAATTTTCTAAAGTACTTATGAAAATTAGGAGTTGTTCAAAGCCAAAATGAACACAATCATAAAAACCAATTATGTTAGAAATATGATTGTGCGAAGTCCATTCGATCAAATAGCTGAATAGTTTAAGATATCACGTTCACTATTTAGTTGATAAGTCTGATGAGTTTTCATTAGGGAAGGTTCAAGGTAAAAAACTACATATCTCAATGCACAATCTTTTTCAAGATGTACTATCTATATTGTGTCAACATTATCATTTGTGTACTAAGAACCAATTTTTCATTCGTGCAGGGATTGTTGGATCAAACAGATTTTTGGTATTAAAAAAATTAAATTTTTGGTCGATTTTGAGTCTAAGTTAAAGTGAGACACACTTGTCATTTCGAGTAAACTTTCGTGTCGGTGAAGAGAATCATGTAGTATATTCAGTTGTTCAAATAAAATAGGAAATGAATGAGAAAATAGACTCCAAAGTGACCCTCTTGAAATGTGAAAATAAAAGTTGTGCAATGTGGAATTTGACACTAATTCCATATTGGTTAAGAAAGAAATAGGCATATATAGGTCAAATTTGCTATTTGGATTGGGCCCCAAAGGATACCACAATTTTAATGAATGGAACAAGTGCCTACATGCCTTCAATTTAACCATGTGCGCAGGCTCCGCCCACCACGACCCAACCCAGTTAGGTTCAGGTACGGGTAAGATTATGAGTGTGATTTAGAACAAATCTTATCTTTTTGGAGAAAATTTATTTAACAAATTAGGTGTGAATTTCTAAACTGGAATTTAATTTCGATGCCCGTTGGAATTTAAATTTCACACCTGTTTGGATTTAATCTTCCCTCTAGTCCAAAATTTAAAATTCGTGTCTGTTCTTAATGGATAGATTTCAATAGTGTCTTCTGGGCTGCATGCATCTTTTGGGTTATGTTTGTTTGTGTGGTGGATGTCCGAAACAATCATCAATTTGTCTATATAAACTCAGGTTCATTACTATTTTGCATCAAGTCATTTTGGATTTAATGTAGTTATTAGTACATCTCATTTTTGGCATTAAGATAATTTTCTTTTGGGGAGTACACAATATAATTTTGATTTGTTGGGCGAGTAGATTGGAATGCTACTCCTATTCGCGTGAAGATCATTGTATCTTGGGAATACAAAAGCTTTGATTTTTGTAAGTACTATGTGTAGAAGC